GATTCAGTGATTTTAGAAGCCGGGCTAACTTCTTCCACTTTATTTTCTTCACTTTTTGGAGGCAAAAGGGCCGTATCTACCTCCTTATTCAAACTGTCTGGGTCCTTGGAATCTCGACTGTCAGCATTTTGGTCCTCACAGAAACTGGGCTTTTGTGCTTTGTCTTCCAGTAAGTCAGGGATTTGAACTGGAGCAGAACCTTCCTCAGACTCTTTCTTTTTGTTAACTGAGTGTGTTGGAAAATTATTCCTATCTGCACATGCTTCTAGGATTCTGACCTCACCTGGTAGGCTCTGGTCTTCTACTGGCACTCCAGAAAGGTGTCCCTTTGCAAGCTCTGTGATTTTTTCTATTGAAGGCTTAGATGCAGCAATGGGCACTGACTCAGATCCTCCCATCGCAGGTCCTCCATTCAGCCCTCCTTCATTCTTCATGGGATCAGCAAGCTCACCTTTATTCGTAAGACAGTTACCTCCCTGGCTATTAACTGTTTCTACGGCTGCTGTAAAAGCAAGGGCAACCCCTCCTCCCATGCTTGCAGAAGGCCTAACAGCGGAGGGGGCCTTGGGTCTTTCCTGACCTGGGACTCCATCTTTGCTGCAATTATCTACCAATAATAATTTGGATATCTGGGCCGGAGAGGTCTCTTGCCCACTTTCTGCCAAGAGGTTTGGAAAAGAATCACCCTCCTTTACAACTTGAGAAGCACGAGTGGGCAGTCCTTCACGGGCTGCTGACTCCAGAGCCTCTGGAAGGGCTGACTTATTCATCAACCCTGGGAGTGTTCTGGGGCAGGTAAATGTGATATTTCTATTTTCGTCCACATAGCCCATTCCTTCAGTTCTGTGGTCCCCTGTGGTTTCCATGGGAACACGTATTTTTGATGCATCTATCGCATTCTCCAGAAGATGCTTCTCAGGAAAACTATTTTTAACCTTTTTACTTTTTCCATCATTGCTCCTTTCATTGGGTTTGTCAGCCACTGCAGCATGTCCCTTGGCTGCATCTGTCTTATTTTCTACAGACAGTGCTGAAGGGACAAATCCTGCCCCCTGGATTTGGTCTTGGCAGCTCACATCTGTCACCTTGGTAGCTGGTTCAATAACAGCGGAGTCCTTGACTATATTTGTCTTGTTCCCACCAAGAGCCCCAAGCTCAGAAGAATTAACCTCATCATTCCTCCCCTTTTGGTCACCTACTTCCACTGTGGGAATAGCTGGTGTACATGGGGACAAAGGATCATGATTTAAAGGGAAAGCAAGTCCTACGTCCTTGTTTTGATGAGGAGTACTCCCAGCATCTCTATCCTTCCCTACAAAAGGTGGGTTGGGGGTTTCTTCCTTGCTCTCCATTCTAGCAGGTTGTGTGGAATAATTATTTTTGAACTTTTTGTTTTTGCCCTCACTACTCCTTTTTTTAGGCTTTTCAGAAATCCAAGGAGCTGCCTCACTACCCATCCAAGGACATTTTCCTTCCTTGCTCTGGCTACTGACACCCCTTTCGATGGCTGCGGCCCCTCTTTCTGTTCTAGCGCCGGACGTCTGAGCTGTGCCTGACCCATTTCCCAAAGGATTCAACATGTGTGAAGCGCTGGCCCCCCAAGCGTCAGCCGTCTCTGTAGGCTCCCCCATCACCACCCCCTCAGTGAGACTCACTATGGTCCCTGGTTGCTTTGAAGAACCCAGCTCCTCACCCTTCTCCCCGGCAGGCGTTCTTTCGGTTTTAGGGGCTGGCTCACTTGGTGCAAGAACAGCTGAGCCATCCTTCCAGCTGTCCACAAAAAACGGTGGCTCAGATCTTGCTCTTCCCTTCCCAGAACCGGCTCTCACCCTCCCAGAACCTGCCCTTGCCTTCCTGCTTCTGCCATCGCCTGCCATTCTCTGAGATGGCTCATTCTCTAGCCCAGGTGTCGGAACTAACATCTCGTCCTGCGGCTGCTTGGAAGCTAAGATGCTCATCTCTTGGCTTGGCTTGGGAAGAGCTTCCTTTGTTAGTTCTTTAATCCCTTCAGAAAACCCTGTCTGTTTGTCTTTCTGCAATTTAGTCACTTTACTTTCACCATTCCCTTTTTTTAGACTACTTCCTAATGAGGTACCTGCTGGCAAAGTGGGCACCAGATCAGGCAATTCTTTTGCTGCTGTGGGTTTTGAGTCCCCACCCATGGCCTCTTGGTCCAAGACAGGAGAGCAACCCTCTCTGGGTTTGAGCTCCAAAGAAATTTCTACTTTGTGTGCAGAAACTTCTGTCAAAGGTTCTTTCAGACCAGGCGAGCCTACTGTCCAGCCTTCATCCACGGGAGTCTTCAGGTTGGGTATAGGCTCTGGTTTGCCTTCACCTAGCTGTAGCCATTTCTGGTCCTGGCCCAGTGGTACTGACTTGTTACCACTGACTTTCACTTCTCTTCCTGGGTTGGGCTGAGAACTTCCTGCAGTTTTCAGGGGTTCTTCCAAAAGACACAAAGGAACGCTGAGACTTTCTGAGACGAAGTTCTCAGCTACCAGTTTGGCGGCTCTGGACTCCACTTCACATTCCTTTTTTAAGTTTTCTCTGGGCGCTAGTCCATATTCTGTGCCCACTGTGGGAGGCAGGGTGGGGAGAACCCCTGATTTCTCTGGGACTGCTGCAAAGGGATGACCTTTATGGTCGTCTGCACTGTTGTCATCCCAAGGTCCCCCAGCTCGGGGTTGAGAGTATCTCTTTTGCTTTGGTTTCTTCTTTTTTTTCTTCATCATTGGTGGACTTTCTATATTCCAGGCCTCCCTGCCAAGATCTCGCTTAGGTTCAAGGAAGTCAACATGAGTAGTTTTCCTTTGGTTCCCAGGCTCACCGTAAGTAGACGGACCAGAGACCCAACCCAACTCAGACAAAGAGCAGGGGCCCAGGCCAGGATTGAGAGTCTTCCGTGGAGAAGAGCCTCCCAGCAACTCAGGAGGGACCCTGGCAGGCCTGGGCCGAGTGGACCTGCGATCACTGGGTCTGCACACTTGTTTGCCTTGTGTGGGAGGGGTACCTGTAATACATGAAGTTGGCCAAAATTCCAAAAAAAAACTTCTTGTTATTGTTTCTTAAAAAAAAAAAAAAAAGTCCATTTACTGACTCAGTTAAGTCTATTTTCACCAGCCCACACACTAATTGATTTAGGAAAACAGTTTTTTTCTAAAGTATTTCTCACTCTTAACTGGAATTAGCAAATTAACAAAGATCATCATCTCAGGTAAAGAAAAAAATTCAAACAGAGATCTTCTAAACCTTCTATAATAAGTAGTGCCTGTAAATCTCATCTGATATTTATATTTGTCATTATTTTTAATAGGTACGTAATTCTCAATTCCGCAACAAGATGGTAAACTCCTATCTCTTTCTGGTGACATTTGTTAATTAACTGAATGAAATATATATGATTTTGGACAGAATTTATAATTCTAAGAGTCTGTCACCAATATTATACTAATTACTTGTCAGGCTAACCAGATCAACTCTGGGAAGCAGAACAGGAGGCCAGACTTATGTGGGGTGGGGGGGGGGGAGAAGAAAAGAAAAAAAGATACTGAATTAGTATTTTGGCCAAAGAAAAATCCTCATCATTCCAGAACCAAAGCCTCCTACTTTGAAAGACAAATGTGTTAGATTTCAATGTTCTGTTCCTAAATGTACTTCCTGAAAGACAGAAAAATATACATAATGGCTAGTAGGTAGAATTAGAACAATTAGGATAACCACCCTTAGAAAAGTTTCAGGAAATCAACTGCTCCAACCTCCTGTCGTCAAGTCAATGCAGCATGGATTCAAGGTCCTGGAAAGAGTCCCACTAAGAGCAGGTCTAGGACAGCTTTTGTCAAGTCTGACCCAATGAAATGATTTCAGAAAACATTAGAACACTTATATAGCACGATTTGTTCTTGTTTTTACCCTCCAATGTCCTCCAAATCCTACCCTTGATTTAACACCTCACGTCAGTTACTGCTTCTCTCAAAAAAGTGCTAGGCTTTAGTACTCCACAACATTTATAATATTTAATTTGGCAATTAACCAGCAACTATTTGGTGCTATCTCTTATACTATTTATTGAATTATTATATAAATCTTTGGTTTCAGAGTTCATGCCTGGCAACTTTCCTCACCATCCAGGCTATGATATAACAACACAAGGGCAAGGACCCAGACTTAAATAACTAATGCCTCAGCATGGTGTACTTTGTACACGATAAGGACTTGATAAATCTTTATTGATATATTGGTCACTAAAACAACATTTAAAAAGATCGAACTTTATTTAGCTCCTACTTGGGGCTAGACAGTATATAAGTACTACAGAATCTCAGTGACATTAAGTCGTGGTCCCTGTCCTCAAATGCACATTCTAATCAGTCACAGAGAAGCAAGCAGAGAATCATTAAGCTGATAATCATACACACATGCTTTGGGCTTACATCAAAAAACATGTAATTTTAAAGTTCACTGAATGACTGAACTCCAAGTTAGAAAGTACCTTGGAGCAATGCCTCTCCGAGTTCAGTGTATACAAGAATTATCTGGAGAACTTGTTAAAATGCATATGAAGGTCTGAGGTGGAATCCAGGATGATGCATTTCTAACAGGCTCCCAAGCAATGCAGATGCTGTTGGGCCACGAAACACAGTGTAACTAGCAAGGGTTTACTAGCAAAGGTTTATAGAACATTTGACCAACATATTCCTCTTATAGCTGAATAAACAGAGAAATAAGGAAGTTAAATAACCTGCTCAAGACCACGCAGCATAGAATAGTGAACAGCTGAACTGAGTTAAAATTTAGATGTCTTGAGTTGATGCGATAATTTTAAAATATGTAAGCAGCTTTCTGCCTAAACAAGATAAAAATCTGTCTAAGAAAGAGAATGGACTTCATAAACAATACTGCTAATTAAACTACCACAAAACCAGGGACAACGTCGACCACCACCAACCCATCGCTCCCAGTCCAAGCGGTTTCAGAGAGTCCACTGGGTTTCCCTCACTTACCTGAGGTCTCCGAAGGAAGGTCGGAAGGTTGACTACTGAATGGTTTCTTTTGCTCTTGTTTCTCTAACACAGAATCCTCCTCTGTCGGCAGGTTGGACTTTTGGCCCACGGCTGTGGCTGGATCTAAATGTAACAGCAAAAACCACACAGGTTTTAGAGCAGCACTACTTCAGCTATTTTTCCACCTTTCAAAAACTGGAAGCAGGAAGTTTTGGAGCAATGAGAGATGCTCCTCTGAGGGCAGCAGAGAAATGGAGTGGTGGCTGGAAGGTGAGGTTGGGAAACTGTTTTGTTTTAAATGGGAAAAATAAATATTTGTATGTTGGTGGGAATGATTCAATGGACAGGGGGAAAAAACTGGTGAGTGGCAAGAAAGGAAATGGCTAGGGCATCCTAAAGTAGGGAAGAGGAGGTGGGGTCTAGGGGCAAAATGGAGATCGGCCACAATTAGGAGCAGGCACGGTTTACTGCCAGTAAGGGGACGGGCAGAGACTAGGGATACAGTATACAAGTAGGTAGATGAGGTGGCAGAAGTCTGTGAACGTTCTCTTTTATTGTGTAGACTTGCAAAATACAGTGTAATTGTCCTTATTTTATCTGGTACGACGTTTGTCCCTCACCTTTCTGGTGAGACCCTGGGAGACAGAAATACAGAGTAAACATAAACCCATACCTGGAGAAATGACGAAAGTAGATGCAGCTGACTGCCCCTCATCCTTGAGAGATTTTAACTGGGACTCCTCACTTATTTCTCCCTGTGACCGCGCAATGTCCATGTCCTTCACTGGGACTGGTGCCACCTCTGTTTCTGAGAGTGCTGCAACATCCTTGGCTGGACTCACGCTGTTGGCCAGAGTCACCTCTGTCCCAGGGAGCGGAGCCACACCCTTAGCCAGGGTTAACTCTGTTTCTGGAGGCTGAGGCACATCCTTGATCAGGGTCACTTCTGTTTCTGGGGGCACAGCCACATTCTCACCCAGGGCCATCTCTGTTTTTGGAGGTGAAACCATGTCCTTGCCCAGGGCCAACTCTGGTTCTGGGGATGGAGCCACATCCTTGCCCAGGGCCATCTCTGGTTCTGGGGATGGAGCCACATCCTTGCCCAGGGCCATCTCTGGTTCTGGGGATGGAGCCATGTCCTTCACTAGAGCCTTCTCTGTAACTGGATGTGGAGCCATATCCTTGACTGGGGCCACCTCGGTTTCTGGGGGCAGTGCCACATCCTCGGTCGAGATCACCTTGGTTTCCAGAGGCAGCGCCATGTCCCCAGTCAGGGCCACCTCTGTCTCTGGGGACAAGGCCACCTCCTTGGCTGGGAATATTTCTGTGGATGACAGAACATCCTTAGCCAGTGCCACTTCTATTTCTGAGAGTGATACCACACCCTTGGCTGGGGCCATCTCTCTGTCTGTGGGTGGTACCATGCCCTCATCTGGGGACACATCCATTTTTATAGGTGGGGCCCTCTCTGTTTCTTTGAATGGTAATACATCCGTGGCTGGGGCTACCTCTGTTTCTGTGGGCAGTACCATGTCCTTGGCTAAAGATACACTGGTTTCTGGGGACAATACAGCATCCTTAACCGGGGCTTCTTCTGTTTCTCTGTGTAGTACCATGTCCTTGACTAGGGCCATATCTGATCCGATAGGTGATTCCATGTCCTTAGCCAGTGTCACATCTGACTTGGTAGATGGTTCCGTGTCTTTAGCAAATGCCACCTCTGTTTCTGTGGCCTGTGCCATGTCCTTGGCTGGAGACATCTCTGTTTCTCTAGATGGTGCCATGTCAGCAGCCTTCAGTCCCATCCTGATTTCCAATGCTTCTGCTGATGCCCTCTCTCCTGCTGATGTCACTTCTACCTCTTCGGCCGGCTCTACGGGAAATAAGTTGGAAATTTAGGACCCATCATTGTGTGCTCGGAGCTCTGCATTCAAAACTTCTTTTCTGAGAGCATAGGAGTATCTAGATTTTGTGACCATTACACCCTAAGCATGACCTAAAAAGCTGTCTAATTAATGTATTTGTGCCTACTCTCTGATAGTCCCAGTACTGAGAACAGGATATTGAGAGAGTAAAGAGTGGAGGAAAAAAGGAAAAGGAAAGAAAAAAACACAGGTTTAAAAACAACAACAACAACACAGGCACACAATTATTTTAGGAATGGGAACCTGTGGGACATCCAGAAAAAAAACCTCCAAGTCCTGAGTATGCACTCAATTAAAAAGGGATTTTCTCTGCCCGTGAACTCCAAGTATTGTATTTCAACCACACCTTCATTCCTTCAGCTGTGAAATCAGTAATTAAAGGAATAAAAGCATTTCTGATAGTTCTGAAATTTTTATCTATACTGCTTTACGCTAAAAATTAAGTCTGATGATTTAAATTGACTAAGATACTATAACCATTAAGTGATAAAGAGGGGTTCTAATAAGTTACCTGCTGTGGGCTGCAGAGGTTGGGTCACAGCCTCTGGGGAAATGAAGGATTCCGAGTGTGGAGAGTTTGGGGCTTCCACAGGCCACCCCTGAGGTCCAACACTTTCAGGAGCGAATGTGTCACAGGGAAATAGACCTAATATTGAAAACACAAACAAACAGATTTTTGAAAACTGGGTCAATAATAGGGAGAAAAAGGCATATGATATTTAAAATCAGCTTTATACATCTGCCTTCGGCTCAGGTCATGATCCCAAGGTCCTGGGATCGAGCCCCATGTCGGGCTCCCTGCTTAGCGAGGAGCCTGCTTCTCTCTCTCCCTCTGCCCCTCCCCCTGCTCATGCGCGCTCTCTAATAAATGAATAAAATCTTCAAAAAAAATCAGCTTTATATATATTGCCATAGCGACACAGGACCGATGAAAAACAAAGCAAGAAAGTTTTAAAGTAAAAACCATTGACGTTCTTTAGGGTTTTGGCAAATTGTTAACTGGCTGTCATATCATTAGTCAGCATTGATTGGCTACCTTCTACATTGTATTGTGAAGAGTAAAAATACTGAAGACTGAATGCTAGCACCAATAAATATCACAAATGATACAACATAACACATAGTAAAGAACTGAGTCTTGATTTCCTCATCTGTAAAATGAAATCAATGCCTCCCTCTGCAAGATTACAACAGTTTTGTGAAAATGCTTTATAAATTATTAAGAAATAGACAAGTGTTAAGGGATTGTTATTACGCTGTGCTCTAAGACATAATAGGGGATTTACTATCACATGGTCCTTGCCAACAAGAGTATTACAATTTAGCTATAGAGGCAAGACAGACATGCATCAAATACTGTACAGTATGGACTAAGTGCTCTAAGAGTTTAAAAACAACCATGAGGACCAGAACAGTCACAGAAGGGTTCAGAGGAGAAGCAAGAGCAGGAAGAGAGGAGAGAGTAGTCAATTTGAAGGATGGAGAACACTGAGCAAAAAGAAAGGTATGAAAATGCCAATAGGACAAGAATGTTTCTGCGACTACAAAATTAGCTGGATTCAAGCAGATGTTGCATACCAGAGAGGGAAAATAGGATTAGAACAAACAATGGAAGAAGGATTTGGAAAGCCAGAGAAATTTAGACTTGAGAGGAAAAAAAGAGTGTCTTAAGGTCTTAATGAAAATGAGATGATGAATACAGAACAGGGACCTAGTGACCAAATCAGCAGATATATTTGGAATGAATTTAAAAGGGAGCAGCCTAGGTATAAAGTGATAGGGGCTTTACATGGGGGAAGGCAGAGGGAGCATAAAGGAAGAAAAGATGCTGTAAAGAAGTCAATGGGACTAAATGACTCACTGAAAGCTGAAAAGCATCAGGAGACTATACAGATAGCATCAAGGTCAACCCATTTAACATCCTTCCCCCTAGAGATCTGCAGTCCAAAGAGAAGCATAAATACAACATATTATTAGCCATGATCTTTACAAATAGAAAATTATAAGCATTGTTGGAAGTGGGACTTATTAGTGATAGGTACTGAAGGAAACCTGAACGTCACCACCAAAATATGCCTCTTTGACATAAAAATTATTTTGAGCTGAAGGCAAGTAGGGAGCGGTAGACCTAGAAAAACCTCTCCACTTTCTGCTTAAAGGCACGATATAAATTCTCCACTTCCTGGAGACAGACTCTTACCAGCCCAGAGAGGGCACCAGAGGAATCTGCAGACAAACCTTACTCCATCAGTTCCCTCCCATGCATTTTCTTCTCACAGTTTCCCACTCAGGAAAGCCTAAAACTGCTTTCCTTTGTCCTGTCATTTCTTTACACATTTACTGTTCTTTGTTGAAGATACTAACCAAAATTCTAAGCTACCACTTTGCATCACTTTTCCCCCATATGATAGATGCTGCATGTGTTAACAAAGTGTCTCCTGTTAATCTTTTTGTTTTAGAGTCCCAGCTGAAAACCTAAGATGGGAGGAAGAAACGTTTCACCTCCCCCACAGTATCCTGGCCACATTCATGTTAAAAGTTACACAAAACCAGGAATAAGGATACTACTAATTGAGAACTAAGATCTGTTTAATGTTTACTAATTACCAGATGCTATGAGAAGTGCTTTTACAAAATTTTATTTCATTATCACCACATCTTTAAGGTAGGAACTACTGCTGGCCCCATATTGTAAAGAAATCAAAGTTTAGAGAGGATATAATTTACCCAAGGTAATGAGCTACTAAAATGTGGAAACAGAATCTGGCCCTATCATATCGTATTCAAGATCCCATGAGAGGAGGTGAGCAGACACTGAGCACCCCAACTGCTGAATTCTCTCTTGAGATCAATCTAGATAGAACCTTGTTACAGCCAGAGCCAAAAAACATGACTTTGCCTCGTGGTTAACTTCAAAGGTGATGGGTAAAAGGCAACATTAATTGTTGGGAGTTAAGCAATAAATCCAGTTGAAGACATCATACCATAACTGTCTTGCAGGGGATCATTTTGTTCTGTAAATGCTGAAGCACTGGTTGTTCCACTGGGGAGAAAGAGAAAATCCTCCAGGCCATCATCATGGTGCATCTTAAAGGGATCTGGAAAAAAGAAGAAATTTAAAACTCATTCCCAGTGAATACAACTAAAAAGATTAGCATTCCTTATCCTATGATGAATATTGATTGGTTACATGTGTCATCAACAGAAGTTAAATAAATTGAGAAAATATGTAACTGAACATGGTAGAGATTACCTTATTCCTTTGTTACAAGTTAAGAATATATAATCTCATATTCTCTTTTGATTCTCTGAATCAGCCAACAAATAAAAAACTAAAGGCACAACTAATGCTCAATTCTATAATATGCTAAGAGGTGAAATTACAGATATAATTAAACTCCAATATATATTTAGACATTCATTTTAGGTTATTAAGAAAAAAAAAAGAAAAAGAAAAAGACAGCCAGATAAGTAAAAAAAGACATTTTCACCTCATTGGACATCATGAAGAAACCTACTTTTAAGAAGTTGTCTGAATGAGACAAGGTGAACAGCTGGCGTCTTCAGAAGAGAGATAAACTCCAGAACCATGAGTTGCCATTAGTGAAGGCACTCAAAACGTCAGGGAAACTCTGTGCCTTCTTCTTCTTTTTTTTTTTTTTTAAGATTTTATTTATTTATTTGACAGAGAGACAGTGAGAGAAGGAACACAAGCAGGGGGAGGGGGAGAGGGAGAAGCAGGCCTCCTGTCGGGCAGGGAGCCCGATGCGGGACTGGATCCCAGGACCCTGGGACCATGACCTGAGCCGAAGGCAGACGCTTAACGACTGAGCCACCCAGGTGCCCCAACTCTGTGCCTTCTTACATGAGAAAAAAAAGCAAAGCCAGTTAGGCCAAGCAAGAATTTTGCTACTAAGGGACACTTGTTCTGATGAGCTCTGGGTGTTATATGTATAAGTGATGAATCACTAAATTCTACTCCTAAAACCAATATTATGCTAACAAGAAATTTTTTTAAAGATTTTATTTGTTTATTTGAGAGAGCACATAAGTGGGTGTGGAAGGGCAGAGGGAGGAAAAGCAGACTCCCTGCTGAGCAGGGAGCCTGATGCAGGGCTCGACCCAATCATGACCTGAGCTGAAGGCAGACAGTTAACTGACTGAGCCACCCAGGTGCCCCGAACTAACTAGAATTTAAATAAAAATTGCCCTGTGTGCTCACTGCTACTAGCAAGTCTACTTCCATCCTTGAGCAGACAGATAAGCATGTATTCCAACACAAGTAAAGGATACTCAGCCTTTAACTGTGGATACTGTTTCCAAATTTATTTAAAGTTGCTTCCTTTCTTTTTGATCTTTAGTCATGAAATGTTCACAAGAGCGGCGCCTGGGTGGCTCAGTCATTAGGCGTCTGCCTTGGGCTCAGGTCACGATCCCAGGGTCCTGGGATCGAGCCCCGCATTGGGCTCCCTGCTCAGCAGGAAACCTGCTTCTCCTTCTCCCACTTCCCCTGCTTGTGTTCTCTGTCAAATAAATAAATAAAATCTTAAAAAAAAGAAAGAAAGAAAGAAAATGTTCACATTTCTGCCCTGATACAGAAATGAAATATTAAGAATGCCATAGTCAACAGATCTTTGAGAAATGGACTAAATGATTTGTGATTTAATCTTTCTGGAGATTAAATATTCTAGATGGGGAGATTTGTGATCTGCATGGTTTTATTCTGGGTACTAGAAATGGGGCTAATAGTATGTTTAGTCCCTGCCCAGTCACAGGAAAATTCTTTATTCTTTACCAGAGACAAAAAAAAAAAGAAAGAATTCTGCTTCTAAGAAGACCTTCTCAAAATTAGCACACATCTGAATTACCCTGCAGCCTTAAAGAAACACTGATTGCTAGGCCCTAAGAATCTGCATTTCTAACTAGTTCCTTGGTAGATGCTAGTGACTCGTTCCCTTAAGGTGCTTCATTTGTCAGAGGCAGATGCATAAAAGCCTAGGCCTTGGGACAGTGTTCATTCCTGTGGCTCTGAGGCAGCTGTACCACCCTCCTCTAGCAAGAGGTGGCAAGATCAGAGGAGACTGTGGCACTGGGAAGTATGAACAGCGGAAGGCAAACTGAGAAACTGCTGGGGGTGAAGGAGGACCCAAAGCTGCTTCTCGCAACCAGCAGGGGAGCTGGGCGATGAGAGAGATTATAACCATTCATGCTGCCTGGTACCCCGGGGTTTGGAAAGGCTCCTCTTAACACATTTCCACTGAAGGAAAACGCAACGCCTAAACCATCAAGGACATAACTGCTGTATGGTTTGCATATTAGGATGGGAGACGTGCTACCTTGCATGTAAAAATGAATGGTTTTTACCAAGTTCTGTCATTTATTTATTATGTTTTTTCTGGATGCCTCTAATATGGCAGAGTCTGTGTGCTCTAAAAACCCAGAGATGCATAATAAGGTCAGGGCTGAGAACATTTAGCAGACGGATATTTTAGTTCAACTCAAAGAAGATCTTCACCTAGTAAATATTTCAGCTGAGAACTAAAGGACCAAGTGGTTAAAGGGATGAAGACCTTTTCTCTATCCACATTCCGCCCCCCCTTAGTGACCTCATCTAATCTCACAGTTTAAAATTCTGTCCGTAAGTTAGTAACACTCAAATTTGTACCTCCAGCCATCTAGACCTCACCCCTTATTTCTTGATTTTCATATCAAATTGCCAATTCTTAATGTATAAAATAAAGCCAAAACATGTTTCCCAAACTACCCCTCATACAATCTTCCCATCTCTAATGGCATTCTATCTTTTTAGTCAAAAACATTGGAGTCATCCTTAACTTCTCTCTTTCATATACCATTCCCAACTCGTAAGAAAATCCAGCTGAGCTGACCTTCAAAATGTCCCCCAGGATCTATTTTCCCCACCTCCACTGATTAGGGTGTCTCACAAGGCTGTATGTAGTCAAGGCACTGGCCAAGGCTGTGATCATCAGAAGACTTGACGGGCTGGAGAACCTGCCTACACAGCGGCTTACTTACTTACCTCTATTGACTAGAGGCCTCTGATTCTCCCCTACATGGGCCTCTGCATAGCAACTGGCTATCCCCAGGGTGAGTAAACCGAGAATAACCAAGATGGAAGCCACAGTGCCTTTTTATAACCTAATCTTAGAAATGACATACCATTATTTCTGCCATCTATTCTACTGATCACACAGACCAAGCCTAGTACGATGTGGGAGGTTACTACACAAAGGTGTGAATACCAGGAGCTGGGGATCATTGGAACCATCTTGGGGGCTGACTACCACACTTGGCTTTCAAGACATTATACTCTTCCGAGTTTTCTCCCCTCAAAACTGGCCATTCCTTTGACGTTACCCTTGCTGGTTCCTCTTCTTCCTGACTTAAATTAGTAATTAAAAACGACTCACAAAGAAAATCTCTGGCTGAGATGGCTTCGCTGATCAATTCTAGCAAACATTAAAAGAAGAATTAAAACTAATTCTTCATAAACTCGTCCAGAAAAACCTGAAGCAGGGAGAACACTTCCTAACTCATTCTCTGGTTGGTATTACCACAGAATGTTAATACCCTGATATTTCTCTGATACCAAAACTAGACAAAGACATCATAAGGAAACTACAGATCAGCATCTCTTCTAAATATGGATGCCAGAATCTTCAACCAATATGTTTATGAATGTGCCAGAAAATAACACAAATTATACACCATGACTAAATGGGATTTATCCCAGGAATGCAAGACTGGTAACCAATGTAATATATACGTATCAGCAGAATAAAAATTAAAACCACATGATCATTTCAATAGATGCAGAAAAACCACTTGACAAAACCCAACACCCTTTCATGATAAACCAAGTACCTGACAAATTAGGAATAGAAGGCACCTTCTTTAATCTGATAAATGGCATCTGCAAAACACCCTCTGCTGACACCATACTTAATGGCCAAAGACTGGATGCTTTCCCTCTAAAGAAAGTAACAAAACAAGGATGTCTGCTCTCACCACTTCTAGTTAATCATTGTACTGAAGGCTCTAGCCAGGAAAATTAGGCAAGAAAAAGAAATAAAATGCATCAAGATTGGAAATGAGGAACTAAAACTATATTTGTAAATGACATATCATACATGTGGAAAATCCTAAGGAACCCACTAAAAAACTACTAGAACTAATTAATTGAGCAAGGTTGAAGATACAAGATCAATATACAAAAATCAATTGTATATCTATACCGTCCCAAAGAATAATCTAAAAATGAAATTAAGAAAACAATTTCATTCATAGCATCAAAAAGAATAAAATATTAGGAATAAATTTTATAAACAGGGATATAAAATTTATACTGTGAGAACTACAAAAATATCATTGAACGAAATAAGATATAAATAAATGGAAAAACATTCTATGTTTATGGATTGAAAGACTTAATATTGTAAAGATAGCAAAACTCCTGAATTTGATCTATAGGTTATATATCTATATTTATAGATCTATAGATCTATAGATCTATAAATTCCTATAAGAATCCCAGCTGATCTCTTTATAGAAATTGACAAGCTGATTCTAAAATTCATATGGAATCACAAAAGACCCAGCCAGAACAGCTAAACTAATTATTAAAACAAAACAAACAAAAAACAAAAACAACCCAACCCCACAAAAGTGAGGAAAACTCACACCTCCTAACTGCAAAACTTACCACAAAGCTATAGTAATCATGACAGTATAGTACTGTCATTAGCACAGACAGACAGATCCAGTGGAACAGAACTAAGAGTTGATAAAATTATGTATCTATGGTCAACAGATTCAGCAAGGATGCCAAGACCATGAAATGGGCAAAGAACAGTCTTCAAAAAAATGCAGCTGGGACAACTGGATATCGACAACCAAAATAATGAATGTGGATCTCTCTACCTTTCACCATATACAAAAATCAACTTACAATGGATCAAAGATCTTAATACAAGAGCTAAAAATATAAAATTTTTAGAAGAAAACATAAGGGTAGGGATGCCTGGGTAGCTCAGACAATTAAGCATCTGCCTTCGGCTTAGGTCATGATCCCAGGTCCTGGGATAGAGTCCTGCATCGGGCTCCTTGCTCAGCGGGGAGCCTGCTTCTCCCTCTGCCTGCCGCTCCTCCTGCTGCTGCTTCTCTCTCTCTCTCTCAAATAAATAAAATCGTCAAAAAAAGAAAAAGAAAAACATAAGGATAAGTGTTCATGACCTCAGATTTGGCAGTGGAGTCTTAGATATAACACCAAAGCATGAGCAACAAGAGAAAAACTAGATATATTGGACTTCATCAAAATAAAAAACTTTTATGCATCAACAGGCACTATCAAGAAAATTAGGAGACAATCCACAAAATGGGAGAAAATATTTGCAAATCATAAATTTGATAAGGGTCTAGTATATAAAGAACTCTTACAGGACAACAACAAAAAAGATACACCAATTAAAATTGGGATAAGGATCTGAATACACATTTCTCTTAAGGAAGATATACAAATAGTCAATAAACATATGAAAAATAAAAAGATAATGAACATTATTAGCCAATAGGAAAATGCAAATTAAAATCATAACAAGATGTACCACTTCAATCCCAACTAGGTTAGGTATAATTTTTTGAAAGGGAAACGATTTTAAGTATGTGGAGGAATTACAAACCTAATCCACTACTGGTGGGAATATAAAATTGTACAGTTGCTTTGGAAAATAGTTGGGCAGTTCCTCAAATGATTAAACAGTAAGTTATCAAATGATCAGCAATATCAATCTAGGTATAAACCCAAGGGAAATGAAAATATATGTCTACACAAAAACCTGTACATGAACATTTAAAACCGCATTAGTGACAACAGTAAAAGAAAAAAATGCAAACAACCTATATATTTATCAACTGATGAACAGATAAACAAAATGTGGTATATCCATACAATGGAATATTATGAGTTCCTCTGAAAGAATGAAGTACTGATGTGTACCACAAAATGCATGATCCTTGAAAACTTGCTAAGTGAAAAAGCCAGTCACAAAAGACCACATATGATTTCATTTATATAAAATGTCCAGAAAACGTAAATTTAGAGAGACAGACAGATTAGTGGTTGCTTATAAAAATGTTCTAAATTTGATTCTGGTGATGGCTACACACACACACACACGAATATACTAAAAATCCACTGAATTGTACACTTGATTTTGTTTTTTGAATATTTTATTTATTTATCTGAGAGAGAGAGAGCATGAGTGGCGGGGGTGGAGGAGCAGAGGGAGAGGGAGAAGTAGATTTCCTGCTGAGCAGGGAGACCAACATGGGACTTGATCCCAGGACTCTGGGATCATGACCTGAGCCAAAAGCAGATGCTTAACCGACTGCGGCACCCAGGCGCCCCTGAATCGTACACTTTAAATAGGTGAATTGTATGGTATATGAATTATATCTTAATAAAGCAGTTTTTAAAAATTACCATATATTGAGAATAGCCAATAATTGGAAAATGGTATAGAACATCAAGTACTAGATTATTTGGAACGAGCTATGAGCACCTTGTAATAAGTTAGATGGTAAAAAAGAAGCCATATATAAGTGCCAACAAAAAAACTGAGCTCTCAACCTGGCATGGAGCCATTGATACTCCTCCTTTGAGGTCCCACTGCAATCCATTCCTGCCACCATTTCCAGCTCTAGGCAACTACACATATGCTTTTTGTGTCTACAGAATAGTTTGATTTTATAGAAATTGGGTATGAGTCCTAGTTTTCCCTCCTGTCAAATGAGAATAATATATACTTGCAGAGTTAGGTAAGAAACACAGAAAATATGTATAAAAAGGCTCTAGCCCTGTGCCTGGCACACAAAACAGACATTCAACAAATGGTGCTACTATTACTGTATTAATTCCTTTTTGAAGAAGTACGATTCTATGATACTACTGACCATTTAGTCTTCAATGAATATGAATTTCAGTGAAGTTACTCAAAAACGGTCTTCGAAAGGGAGAGATATGGAGGGGCATGCGCATCAGAAGAAGGGATTGAGAGGAGAAAGGGTCAACTAAATGTTCAGGGCAAAGGGTTACACTCTGGTTGTGCTTTGCAAGCTATATTTAGGCTAAAACGTTTTATCTGAGTGGTGGCTACAAATTTTTCATGTTTATGTCATCACTCACACTGAACAGTCACAGGCAAGCCTGCACTTACCAGTTTGGGTAGGATTCACCAATTGTTGTGGTTCAAAGCAAAAGTTTGTGTTTTCTGGCCAGCTCTGGATGTTCTGATATCCCTGGTAGGCCATTTTCTCTTCAAGGAATGGAGTTGGAGAACCTTCAGGCAGAAACACCAAACAGAAGTTACAAGGTATTACTGTCCTCTCCTCCACTAGAATTGAGTTTATTACTGTCTTCTCCTCCACTAGAATTGAGTTTCTACTAGTATCACAGTTAGTACAATATGACAACAATCATACCTACCTAGTGCATTTTCAAGAATTTTTTTTTTTTTTAATTTTAAGACAGAAAAACATAATCAAAATACTGGAAGTATAAACCTGTTATAAGGTTAAAAACACCGCAGGTTATCTTCTGGGTATGGTACGTGAAAAGGTTAGTGATTTTTACCCACAAAAGAACAAGTACAAAATTTGACAAAACTGTCAACAGCAATCATTTCAAGTCACCAAAATATTTTTAAATGTCAGATCTAAATAAATGGGGAGATATATACTATGGTCATTAATAGAAGACTCAATATTGTTAAGATGGTGATTCTCAAACTGACAATAGAGTCAAGGCAATTACAGTTAAAAGTCCCAGCAGAATTTTTTTGAAGGTGTCAACAAGCTCATTCTAATTTATATGGAAATGCAAAAAAAAAAAAAAAACAAACAAAAACAGAAGAGACAAAACAACTTTGAAGAAAAGAACATTGGAGGATTTAAATTATTTGATTTCAAAAGTTACTACAAATGTGTAATAACCAAGTCAGTGTGGTATGGACAACACATTTGATAAATGGAGCAGAACAGAGTTCAGAAGGAAAACTACGTAAGTTGTGGACAACTGGTTTTTAACAGAGGTGCCAAGGTCATTCAATAGGGAAAGATCATTTTTTCAACCAATGATACAGAAACAACTGGTCACTTACCTCACACCATATGCAAAATCTAACTCCAAATAGATTAAGAACCTAAATGTAAACGGGTGAAACTAAAAGAACTTGTAGAAGAAAATATAGGAGAAAAAAATCTCTGTGACCCTGGACTAGGCAAAGATTTCTTAGAAATGTCATCAAAGGCAGGATCCATATAAGGAAAAAAAAAAACTTGTGAACTGGACATCATCAAAACTTAAAACTTTTGCTTTTCAAAAATACCATTAAGAAAATGAAAAGAGAAGCCACAGACTGGGAGAAAATATTTGCAAATGACAAATCTAATAAAAGACCTGTATGCAGAAGAGATCAAAATCTCTTATAATTATACTTATGATCTACATTAGGTAAGTTTTACAAGAAACGAGTTCATTTATCACATTAAAAACTTAATATTTATAAGTAACTTAAATATTGGCACATACTATGTGTTCAAAACTGTGTTTAAACATTTAATATGGGGGAAATAGCTACTTCAGTCTTTTTGCTTATTTTTGTTCATACTTACAACGAACAATGTGTAAAGTTTTAATCTTATTTCCCTTACATTTTGTTGTTCTGATCATATTTATTAAAATGTTATTCTTCATCTGTTCAGTCTAATAATAAAAAATTAAGACTTGCAAAAAAATCTCTTACAACACGATTTTAAGTCAAGCAACTCAATTTTAAATGGGCAAAAGATTTCAAGAGACCTTTTCATCAAAGACAATACACAAATGGGTAATATGCACATAAAAGAAGCTCATCATCATTAGTCGTTAGGGAAATGCAAATTGAAATCACCATGAGATGCCACTACACTACAGAACCACTAAATCAAAAAGACAGACAATATCAGGAGTTTGTGAGGATGTAGAGAAAAAGGAAATTTCTTTCATTCCTGGAGGGAATGTTAAATGGTACTACTTTAGAAATTAATTTCATGGTTTCCTTCTCTTCATGAACAGCTTAGTTGAGATATAAATTTACTGTTTTAAATAAGTGTAGAATCCAGGGGGTTTTAGTACATTCACTGAGTTATACAACCACCACCATCTAACTTCAAAACCTTTTTATTACTCCAAAATCCTATACGCATTCACCTTTCCCACCAGCCCACTGGTGGGAAAGTTTATATACTCATTCAAAATATATAGTTTATATATTCATCTGTTGACATCCGATTGTTTCCATTTTTGGCTATTGTTAAATAATGCTACTATGAACATTAAGTACAGGTTTTTGTGTGGGAATGTTTCCAATTCTACTGGCTATATGCCTAACAGAATTTCTAGGTCATAGAGCAACTCGTATGTTTAACATTCTGAGGAACTGCCGAACTGTTTTTGCAAAGTGCTTACGCCATTTTACAATCCCAGCCAACAATGCGTGAGTTTCAATTTCTCCACATCTTCACCAACACTTGTTGATCTTTTTTATTTTAGCTATACCAGATGTGGGTGTGAAGTGTATGCCACTGTGGTTTTGATTTGCATTTCCCTAATGACTAGTGATGTTCTGCACATTTTCAATTGCTTATCAATCATTTGCATTTTTTTTTTTTTTAAGAAATGTCTATTCAAGGGGCGCCTGGGTGGTGCAGTCGGTTAAGCACCCAACTCTTAGTATGGCCTGGGTCATGATCTCAGGGTTGTAAGATCAAGCCCTGCGCTGGGCTCCGCGCTCAGTGTGGAGTCTGCTTGAGATTCAATCTCTCTCTAAAATAAATAAATCTTAAAAAAAAAAAAAAGCCTATTCAAATCATTTACCTATTTTTTAACTGAGCTATTTGAGCTTTTTTAATTATTGAGATAGAAGATTCACTTTCTTTTTTTAATTCAAGCGTAGTTAACATACAGTTATATTAGTTTCAGGTGTACAATATAATGATTCAACAATTCCATACATTACTCAGTGCTCATCACAAGAAGTGTACTCTTAATCGCCTTCACCTACTTCACCCATCCCCCCAACCCACCTTTCCTCTGGCAAGCACCAGTCTGTGCTCTGTATTTAAGGATGTGTTTTCTATTTTCGTTCGTTTCCTAAATTCCAGATGAGTAAAATCATATCGTATCTGTCTTTCTCTGACTGATTTATTGCACTTGGCATTATACCTCTAGATCTATCCAAGATCCATTTTCTTGATGATGTCCTTGGAGCATAAAAAATTTTTTATAAAGTCCATTTTTTTTTGAAGATTTTATTTTTAAATCATCTCTACACCCAATGTGGGGCTCAAACTTACAACGCCAAGATCAAGAGTCACATGCTCCTCTCACTGAGCCAGCCAGGCGCTCCGATAAAATCTAATTTAACTGCTTTTCTTTTGCCACTTTTGCTTTGGAGTCCTAAGAAATCACTGGCTAATCCAAGTTCATAATGATCTATGCCCATGTTTTCTTCTAGGAGATTTTCCCTTTTACTTCTTATATTTAGGTCTATGATCCATTTTATTTTTTTATATGGTATTAGGTAGGGGTCCCAACTTCATTCTTTTGCAAATATATTTAATCCAATTTTCCCAGCCCCGTTTGTTGAAAAGACTATAGTAGTCTCCCTTATTGGTGGGGGATATGTTCCAAGACCCTCCCCATCCCCATGGACACCTGAAACTACAGATAGTACTGAACCCTATATACACCATGTTTTTTCCTATTCATACATATCTATGATAAAGTTTAATTTATAAATTAGGTACAGCAAGAGGATTAACAACAATAACTAGTAATAAAATAGGACAATTATAATATACTGTAAATAAGTTATATGAATGTGGTCTATCAAAAGATCTTATTGTACTATAGTCACCCTTCTTGTGATGATGTGAGATGATAAAATGCCTGTGTGATGAGATGCACTGAGGGGAATGAGGTAGGCACTGTGATGTAGTGTTAGGCTACTAATGACCTTCTGTTACGTCAAAAGGACTATCTGCTTCCATACCGCAGTTAACCACAAATATCTGAAGCCACGGAAAGCAAAAACGTGGATAAGGGGATACTACTGTATTCTTCCCCCACTGATTTATTTTGGCACCCTTGTTGAAAGATGCAACCTAGAAAGATGTCATTTCTATTTCTAGACTTCGACAGTTTCTTAAAATGTTCAACAGGTCTGACCCAGCAAATTCCTAGGTATCTACCCAAGAGAAATGAAAACACATTATCTATACAAAAACAAATATATTAATGTTCACAGCTGCATTATTCATAACAGCTAAAAATTAGAAATGCAATGTTCATCAACTGGTGAATGGATAAACAAAATAGGGTGCAAAAATACAGTGGAATATTATGCAGCTATAAATGGGGATGAACTACTGAAAACACTACAATATGGATGAGCCTTAAAAGCATTATGGAATGGGGCGCCTGGGTGGCTCAGTTGTTAAGCGTCTGCCTTCAGCTCAGGTCATGATCCCAGAGTCCTGGGATCAAGCCCCACACATTGGGCTCCCTGCTCCGCGGGGAGTGTGCTTCTCCCTCTCCCACTCCCCCTGCTTGTGCTCCCTTTCTCGCTGTGTCTCTGTCAAATAAATAAAATCTTAAGGAAAAAAAAAAAAAGCATTATGAAATGTGAGAAAAGCAAGACACAAAAGACTAAATATTGTATAATTCTATTTACATGAATTTTCTAGAAAAGACACTTTAAAGACAGGAAGTAGAATAGTGGTTGCCTAGACTGTAAGCAGGAATGGGAACTGAACACAAATGGGCCCAAGGGAACTCCGAGGGTGATAAAAATATTCTAAAAATGGATTAGGGTGACTTTAGTATATACCTTCTTTGTTAGGGGTATGAACTTTTGTTGACAAGGGCATAAAAGTAAATGAAAGAAGTTTTGAAAGGCTGAATAGCCACAGTACCAAAGTTTAAAGTTTCCCTACTGTCTTCCTTCCGGAAAACAGATGAGGCCCTAACGAAGATGTGGCTGGGAGAAGAAGGCTCCACCACAGGGTACTTATAAACAGTTCTACAGCTAATACACCGACCGCTAACCTCAAGGCAAAGTGGGAGTAGAAGTGACAGGACTCCTCATTAGCAGCCAACTCATCAGGCTGCCTCTAGGTACAAATGGTCCCCTTCAAGGTTGCCCTTTATTTTCATGTTTCATAGAATCATTTAAATCTGATTTCACCTACATGTAGTGATTTGGGGGAAAGGGAGAGAAGAATAAAACAAAATCATTTA